GGGACTCGAGACTACTTTTTACAAAGCATTTCAATATTTATGTGCATATCTGTTAAAATAATATTAGTTGATGTGGATACAAAACGAATTTTAACAATGATTTACTTGCAAAATTTTAAATGTTTATTAATGCCTTGAATAAACTGTTCATGTTACGAATGCACGTAACTTTGTGTGAACTGAATACTGTTGTCCTGTGAGGAGCGTAGATATATCGGAGACAAACATTATCAGTTTTCAACTTGTTTCTCTATTGTTTATTTGCTTTTGTTGCTTTTTGTTGTTGTTTTTTAGTATGCTTTTTTATCGTAGGTGTTTTTACAGCCCCATCAACACAATTTAGATCATTTAGGAGGAGGGCTTCCAACAAGGGCTAAAAGGGATACAACATCCCAACAGAAAGACTTGAGATTCTCGATAAAACTTTTCTGCCCTCTCGGGAATCGGGCTCGGGTCACTTGTGCCTGATAGTGAAGTGTCATCGTCATTGTTATTATTATTATCAGTGTTTTAGAATTCAAACAATGGAAAATCATGAACTTTGGCTGTATGCAAAGCCCGTCTTCCACGTCAGTCGCCACATAGCTTAGAGCTTATGTTAGCTGTTTACAAGTTTACGAAACGTCCCGATCACATAAATACTGTACAAGTCTTCAAATTAATGTATTTTTAAGTAGCAAAAAACCCACAAAACAAAACAAAAACAAAAAGAAACAAAAACCCCCAAACGAACAAAGAACAAACAAACAAACAAATAAATTTAAAAAAAATAAAATACATCAGTATGGCAAGTCACTGCAGAACTGAAGCAGGTGACAGAACTATGTTACAAAGCAGGCACCTTTAGTAGACATAAGAATAAACACAGTTTCGGTTAGGTAAAAGTTTAACGGTTCTCACAACTGCATAATGTCATATAACGAGAGTCCACATATACTTCAGTTTGTTGCTGTGTTTGAAGAGTGTGGTGGTTGCCTATAGAGTAAGAGTGGGATTCTGAGAATAAACTGGGCATGAGTTTCAAAGGTATCGTAACTCGAGTTACAATATTTTTTAAATAAAAGCTATGTTAAACCGTTTTCTGGTGCGCATCTATATATTATGTCAAAACCGCGTACCGTAAACTCAATAAATGAAACAATTGTTCCCAAATGAAAATGTATTGTGAGTCTATAGCGGTAAAATCGTGGCAAAAAATGTATCGTATCTTGACTTACGATACTTTAGAAATAAATTCATGCAAATCTCTTTTAATGTATGTTGTTGCTCCAAGTTACGATAGTTTTATTGCCACGGACTTGCATCGACATAGAAAGATGTATATTATACTGGTATCGTATCTCTGAGTATAATAGAGTGAAATATGTCCTCCTTGGTAGTAAACTATCGTAACTTAAGATACAATATACTATGTTATTCATAAAGGAAGTTTCTAAACCCTAATCTCTCTTTGATTGTAAAGATTGTAAATTGAACAGCCCCTTCAACACAATATACTTCACCTATGACACATACTGTGCCGTACTCAAGAGCCCGCGGACTGTATCTGATCCAGCGAATGGTTGTATCTGGCCAGCGATAGAATGAATCTAGGTAGTCCATCATGGGAATCTCCAAAAGACAGAATCCTACTCCAAGCACAAACGAACTTAATGCCAAGAGAAAAGATGCCAAAAATCCTGCTCTAACAAATTATAATTATAATTATAATTACAATTAGTCTATAAATACAATACATGGCAAATAGCAATAATTGGTATTTCTTGATTTGTTGTTATTTTTCTTGTTGTCGGTTTTAATTCATTGTTTATGAAAGGTTTAGACATACCTGTTCACTCACGAGTGTCATCAGTCATCAATGAGTGTTTGTCCTATTTTGAATGTCCCAAGTCTCCCCTGTCCCAAGTCTCTACCTCACCCCC